GTTCACTGGGCAAATTCCCTATGAATGAATCTTATCTTCTCAGTAATGCAGCACACCATTTCCATTTAATTATTCATGATATTAAAGGCCATGTATTTCTTTTTCAATGATGAGAAATGTGACATTTATCTTGTTTAATTTTATTGTAAGTATGCAGGTAGTATACCAAACCAAAATAGAATTTCATTATATTTGTAATTGTTTATAAATAAGATTTTCTTTTCATATATCAGTTGTATGCTGTGCAATCAGTGCTACGTCAAAGGATTTACACATGTAAATTATATAATTTGGTAAATCATTATGCCATACATTTGTATTTGCCCCATTAGATTCCACATCTCCAATAGAAGTGAACTTAAACCAAAAATTGCTTGTATTATATACAGTGTCGTTAAAATCACTTATTTCGCCCAAATAAAAACATTTATAATGTACGTAAGCCATGCGCTACTAATAGAATTAATTACAGGAATTGATTTGAATAGTTGCTCAATCATGTCTTTAAATGTCTTACTAACTTGTATTTAATAAAATATTGTTTTCAGGCTTACAGCAAAAGAACTTCTTACCTTGGAATTTTTTGAAGAAGATACAGGTTTTAAAGTTGAATTAATGGGAGATATTGAAGATGATGGCACCATACAACTGAGGTTAAGAGTTGATGATCCGAAAAAAAGGAAAGATAAACATAAAGACAATGAAGCTTTGCAGTTTGGTTTTGATCTACAGAAGGATGACCCAGATCAAGTGGCTGCTGAAATGGTAATTTTTTGTTGGAATGTCTTGCAAGTTGCTGGTTGTTGCCTGGTGAAACTGATAAAACATGATTCTGAGGGCAGTCAATTTCATATTTACAGTGTATTGAAGTAATGAGTACCTAAGTCTATGTCAACCCAGTGAATGTACAGTTTATGCTATGCTAATGTTTATTGATCATTACACCCAGCACATTGTAGACACCAGTACTGTAAATTACCTTGCAAACTACGGTATTTACTAAGTAATTAAAAAAGGTGATTTCAAATGTCGCGTTTTCAGGATTCAACTTTTAAGCTGAATGTGCAATTCCTCATCAAATGATAACCTGGAAATGGAACTTGTAATTTCACAAGGTGGAGCAGGTTTTGATTTGATGAATTTCTTGTTTGATTATGAGAAGCCAACTTTTCAAACTGTTTGAATTTAATATGACGGGATGACAGAAATTTTGTATAAACGCAAGCTGTACTAATGCCATATCAAAATTTACAACTATAAAATTTAAGAAGTTTCTTAGTTTTATTAACTGCTTGCATCTTTTTAGAGAGTGCAAAGTGGAAATTGTGGAGCAGCAGGATATTTTAATTTGTTAACATGCTAAATTATGCTTTGACGTACTGTGAGCTAAATGGTGGTGATATTCCTCTTTCTCGATGGAGTTGCCCAACATTGATGATCGGTAACAAATTTTGTGATCTAATTCATGTGCGCCCTGTGTAAAACTGTGTTTATCAGTTATCATGCATTTCTGTTAAATACTGCACTGCAAATTTCAGGTGAAGTCTGGATTCTTGAATGAATTGGACCAGAAAACAGTTGCGAAGTGCATAAGAGATCGCATTACTACAGCTAAAAGGATTAAAGAAAGAAAAAAAGAAAAACTAGAAAGGTTGGAAAAACAAAAACATGAAAATGAACAAAATGTGCAACAGCAGAATGTTCCACGTGTTGACAGTGAGTATTGGTTCGAGTTTTGTGCTGTAATTTGTTTGATGTACCAGTATGTTAATTTTGTAATTAGTCAGAGATCATGCTAGCATATTCATCTAAAATAGAAATGCACAACAATCAAAAATTGTATTTATTGTATACTATATCATTTAAATATGACTTGTTTTTGCCATTAGCACACGTGTACTCTCATGTCCCAAATAAACGTATCGGTACATTTATTTTTTTCCCCGAAAAATTCCACTCGATATGTTTTTATCTGGGACTGTATGTTTATTTATTTTTCTAAATTGAGCTGATTAAAAAAAAAAAATTGCCTTTTTCCCATCAAAATCAAATCCAAAAAATCGCACTACACCATCGGTAAATCTCTTCTGTGTTACGTTCATCATGAAGTCGCTGAACTGTCATTAACATATTTAAATGAGCTATAGTAATTCGAACACGTTGGCACCATCCAGCATTTTTTTTTCATGTGAACAGCTTTTTGATTGACTGTAATTAGTCTGTACTGTAATTGTGTGCATCCATGCGTGCGTACCTATATCTTAGACATGCCTGGGCCGATTACATTCACACTTCTCACATGCATCATACATAATATTATACATGTGCACATCAATTTGTTTCGCGATCTGATTAAGGATGGCTAAATGGCGGCCATTTTTGTGCTGAAAAATAATCAAAATCTAGAATTTCAGGATGGATTTTGCTCAAACTGGGTACATACATTAGATATTATTAGACCTTTAAGCATGTCATTCTGTTTTTCAAGTCCGACATAAAATGGCTGACTGGCAGCCATTTTCTTTTGCTGAATGCAGTTCTAGTGCCATATGTCCGCTATGCTTTGACTGAATATGTTCAAATTTTATATATTCATTAGTGATCATGTCATAGATATACAGGTATATTTCAAATGAATGGCAAACATTGGACATTATGGGACCTTATGCATGTCATTTTATTTTTGAAATCAAATTCAAAATGGCTAACTTGGGTGATTTTGTTTAATGAATACGGTTCTTGAGCCGTATTTCTGACATGATTTGAATGAGTATGTTCCAATTTTATATATTCATTGTACATCATGTTATAGATATATATATGTATTCAAAATTTTGTTTTAATTAATGCTGTTCCAGAGCAATATATCCCAATATGAACAAGTACTCGTTTGATGACCAGAAACAAGATGGCTCAATGTCAATCATTTCAATGTTAAAAAATCGTCATAATCGAGCATCAGCCTCTGAATCCATTGACATGTTTATGTTCCAACTAAACAAAATTATATCTTAAGTTTGATAACTAATGGGGACTGTGCCATGCATGGCTTGTTTTTCGTGATGCCCATTTTAAAACCAAATTAAGGCATTTCACTCACTTAAGAGATTATATGGTATCTTGCTTTTCGCTAGCCATGAAGAAACTTCATCGATGTAGCCGACTGACCCATGCATTTTTATCGCCACATGCCAACACACAAATCGAGTTAAAATTTTGCAAAATACGTCACCATTGCACTGATTGGCTGGAAAGTTTCTCAGCCAGATCAACTCGGATGGTGATTTGTTTAATGTTTACTTAATTAGTCAATTTTCAATGAAACATGGTAAACAGATGCCCGGAAACAATCATTGCTTTTCAGTACATGCTGAGGGAGAATGTGCAGACCTGATTTGCATAAATTAGCCAATTTTTATTTGTTCCACGAATGTTTCCTATACCACTCATCCAAATTTCAATGAAACTTACCGGTACCACATAGATTTTCTTTGATAATGTACATGGTTTATAAGCCCCAAACAAGAAGAATGCAAGTAATTGTGTGCACATTTTTTGAATATCAATAATTGTCTTCCTTGATCCCAAAAATGTCTACTTCCTTGTTTCAATATTTTTGTGTTCACGCAAGCTTGTACAATCACGTTTGTTTGTATTCTAGGTGATGGTACACTTGACTCTGGCATAGGATCTGATGCTTCCAGTATGCATATTTCACAGCCATCAGTTCAGGGACAATACCAACAGTCTCCCCATTTATCGCAACAGTTTGCTGCTAACCAGTACCCTGGCCAACAAGGACAATTTTTACCTAATCCTGCTGGCTTCCAGCAAGGAGGCTATCCTGCAAACTCCCTTCAATTTTCCTATCAGCAGCTTGCGTACAATCAAGGACAGCAATATCAACAGGTTTGTTGAGCTTTTGTACAAATACTCTTGTATTCCTTGTGTTAATTTGTATTTCTTGTATGGGCTTCCGCTAAATTTCATTTAGGTTTGGCTACAATAAATGATGCAACTTTCCCCACCAAAAGTATTTCAAACCATGAATTATTCTGTGAAAATGGTTATATAAAAGTATGTCATCATCCACAAAAATGTAAATTAAACATCAGGAAACATTGTGCTTGCCAGTGTAAGTTACAAATTTGCGATTTTTTTTTCATTTCTTGTCACTAACAAAGATTGCTAACCCAGTTTGAAATGGCTAAGAAAACTATGTAGTTGTAGCCAATGTGGCTAACACTATTTTATCCTTAGCCCGGCTCGTAAGTAATAAAATTACCATGTATTGATTTTCCCATCCCTGTTGCAGACTTCCCAACAGCCGTATTCACAGGATCAGTTCCAACAGTACCCAGGTTCGTATGGTCAAACACAGTCATTCCAATCGTCTGGCCAGTACCCACAGCAATTCCAGCACTTGCCACAGCAACAGTATCAGCAGCAGCAATTTCCGCAACAGTTCCAACAGCAGTTTCCACCTCCACAGCAACAATACATTGTGCCAGGACAGCAACAACAACAGTTCTTACAGCAATCACAGCAACAATACCAAACTGCTCCAGCTGCTCTTCAACCATCCCCAGGTACCCTCCAGCCACCATCACAGCTCCAAACTCAGCCTACACAGTTTTCTCAGCAGCAAAATCTACCTTCCCAAGAAAGCCAGACAAGTATTCCACAATCCCAATTGCAACAACCACAAGACTGCCAAATGAAGACTTTAGTTCAGACAGAGAGAAAAGATATTTCTCCCCCTGAAGGACACAGTGGTCCAGGCACTCCTCAGACTGAAGGTGCTAAAGAAGGGTGAGTATTTGACTTTCATTTAACCCCATTTGTGACGCTTATTCGTTACTGCTGCTGTAGTAAAATATCTTGCACTGATCAAATAACCCAATAAATTCATGCATTTGAACAAATATAGTAAAATTCTGTTACAGTGTGTAGTATTTGATTGCTGTGGTAAAGCCTAGTATGGTCACCATCGCCCGCTCCACGTATGATTTTTCCTGCATTCAGTTATCTCGTTGAAATGTTTCAAAACATGTAAAAGTTTCATAGTGCATTCTTTAATTCTTGTACTTAATACAGTCATGGCAGCCAAGAGGGACTTCCTGCCAACCTTGCTGTTGACAAAGCCAGGAAAAAAGATACCAAAGAAAAGACTGAGAAAGAAAAGGTGAAGAAGACTAAGGGTATAAAAAGAAAAAATCCATCACTGTCTATTGTACAAGTGGAAAAAGATGGCATCGTAGAATGTGCTTTGGAAACGCATAACGGACAGACTGTCACTTTTAAATTTGCTGTTGAAGATGATGTGGAAGTTATTGTTGAAAATTTGGTAAATACAGTTGGACTATCATTACTACTATTATTTGATAATGTTTCAAAAGATAGTATTTTGATAATTGGTCTCTACAAATTGATTGATATTTTAGGTTGATAGTAAACACTTGACAGAGCAGCATACTGAATTATTTGTTGAACAAATCAAGGAAGTTGTACAGAAGGCAAGAGATATGGGTCCAACACCTGCAGATGAGATTCCTCGTTCAAGTCCAAAACAACAGAGAAGAACGTCTACCCAAGTGTCTGTAGATGAGAGTCAACTTGTGGTAAGCTTGGTCTCTTGTATGTCACATGGTATTGGTGGTGCATACTGTTGTGTTGCTATATTTATTCTGATATATATATTTATTGTTCTCACAAAATCAAAAATTGCCTGCAATTCAGTGATGATGGCCTAGTAGGCATATTTAGTATTTGCAAGAAATTAATAAAGAAAACGTGATATATTTAATAATATGCAATAAAAATACTAATATGCACATGCATGGAAGCTAACTGAAATATTATAAATCATGCCATGTTTTCTTTGTTTAAACAGGCTCAAAATGGCCAGCATTCAGATGCAACTCCTGAGGGGAGTGTTCCTACCACACCAACAGTCAAAGAAGGTGCTGCCTTTGATAGGTCTCCTCTCAAAACTCTAAAAGGTGCTAATATCCCAGCCAATGCGCAAGCAAATGTTGGTAGTCAACAGTCATCTGTTCCACCTGCTAATGTTGACAAGACAAGTCCTCTAGATGATGATTCTAATATGGTTGCCTTGAATGCTGCTACAACTCAAAGCCTTCCTCAGAATGCTGCCAGTGTCTCTGTTCAAAATATGTTGGGTAAAAGTACATCTGCTGATGTCCAACAGGATCAGATCTCGCCAACCTCATCATCTGCAACAATTGCATCACCAAAACCAGCAATTAGTACGTCGCAACCTGCGAATGAAGTGAAAACAAAACAAGGTCTTGGTCCTGGAAGATCAGTCTCTTCTCCCGCTGTTGCGCATCACAATCAATCATCAGTGGATGTTGCCACACCTTCAATGCCTTCTGTCCCACTTAGTCAGATAAGTGCAAATCAAACATTGCCAGCAAACCAACAGGTTCCTGCAAATCAGCAGGCCATGGCTGCCACTGCTGCACAACAGCAAAATGTGCCAGCAAACCAACAAAATAAATTGCAGCAGCCATCACAAGACATTCCTGCCAATCAGCAAGCCAGACTCCAGAATCAACAAACCAGCACCCAATCTAACCTGCCAGGCTTGCCTCTACAAACTGGTATGCAGCCACCTGGAAGTCTGAAAGGGGTGTCACCTGTAGGAGTTCTTCCAGCACAAGTCATGCAGATGCCACCTGGAATGCAAGCACCACCACAAGGACAAGGGGTGCAAGCCCCACCACTGCAAGGAATGCAAGCTCCATCGCTGCAAGGAATGCCGGCTCCTCCACCACAAGGAATGCAGGCCCCAGCACCGCAAGGAATGCAGGCCCCAGCACCGCAAGGAATGCAGGCCCCAGCACCGCAAGGAATGCAGGCCCCGCCATCGCAAGGAATGCAGG